GGGGGGGGGCGGGAGGCCAGCTTGGGGCTCTCGGTTTCCCTCCTCAGAAAGGTGGCGGCTTCTCCGGGGCCGCCTCTGTCGCTTTTCCAGGTTCTCTCCTTGATCTGCGAGCCTGGGTGCCCAAACCCTGCCCCGTTGTTCCTCAACTGCAGGAGCATTACAGTCTTCTCCTGTTTCATCTCCCTTTAAGCTTCCTCAGCAGACACCCTTCCCCTTCCCAAACCCGTGCCAGTGGCATTTGCCATTCCCAAGCTGCCTCTGCAAATTCCCCTGTCTCCCCTTTTGCTCTGGCTGGATTCCTTGAATAACTCCGAGTGCAGAAATACCCGCCCAGCAGCACGGAGCTGTCTAGGAATAGACGGGCTGTGCTTTGTCCCGTGGCCTGGGAGGCCTCCCTGGTGGTGTGCCCTGTTTTGCTGACGAGGTTGGTTGTTTTGCAGGTGGTCCCTGCCCATGGCGATGTCCATCACGCACCGGGGCACTGGTGTTGCGTTGAGCTTAGGTGCGTGCATCTCCCACCGGCTTGTGGCGACAGAGGGCGGGGGCTGCGGGATGGACGACCCTTCTGATTTGGAGACCTGACTCCAGATGGGCATTTTCTCTCCTCTGCCCCAGCTTCAGCAATGGGAAATCTCCTGGGAAACCTGAGCTTTGTCCTCTCCCTTTCTCCATCCCCCGAATATCTCCCCATTCCCATTTCTCTGCCCCTCGGGTCCTCTTGTGCTGCGAGCGGCTCCAGTCCTGCAAAGGCAGCGATGCTCCCCCGTATGTAAAAGCCTTCGAAGCCTTTGTGGCGTTGTGGCCTGGCCTGGCTGCTTCGGGGCCTTCCCCAGTCTGAAAAAGGCCAATCTGCTGCTCCAGTTCTTGGCCCTTCTCCTCTTCGGGGGCTGTTTTTTTGCTGGTTTACCACTCTGGGAGACCCTGTGTGAGGAGCACACTGACAGGCAGGCAGAGCTTAGAGGATTTTCCTTAGCACAGGTAGAGTTTTTCAGCTTCCTGGGAGTGGCTGCTGCTTTCCCAGAGATCCCAGTGGGGGAGAAGGCGGTGTCAGCATCAAAAGTGATCGCCTCCCTCCAGCAATTTGACTTGCATGGTTTGGCTAAGCGATAGGACATCTCAATGTGCAAGGCTGTTTTATTTCCATTAATGCCCTCTCAAGGCAGCAGGAGGGTGCTTCTCTGATAGCTCCCTGTTGAGTGGGGGGAGCTGGGTTGGTGTTGGCAGAAAGGCAGAGAGCGAAGAGGTTCAGAAAAGATGTGCAGGACTCAGGACTTGTGTTCTTCGCTTGGCAGAGTGAGGGAGCAGCGCGGGCTGCAGCCTGCCCTTCCCAGCCTGGTCTCCCGTGAGGACTTGGGAGTTGGGCTCCTAGAAAAGGGCACCCACGTGTCCGCCTGCTCCCATATCCGCACGGCAGAGCCCTGGTGAGGGCTTGGCTCTGCCCCCCGGCTCTGCTCCTCCCAGGCCAGCCGGCTTGTGCCCAGCTCTGCCTTGCGAAGAGCAGCCCGCATCCGCTGCGGGAGAGGAGCCGACGGCCGCCTGCTCCGAGCACAGCAAGGTGACTCTGCCTGCGCGCGCCCCTGAGCCCAGCTGGCTCCTGTGGGGTGGCTGCGTGCCTTGCTCTGTGCATGAGTCCAGGACATTGCGTGGCAGCCGTGCTGGCACCACCTGGCTTTGGGATCTCGTCTCCAGGAGCCCGGGATGTGCCTGGCCCCATGGGCTGCCGTCCCATCTGCTGTCAGGCAGGCCGAGCTGGCAGGTTCACTGTTGCCTTTCTGCTCGGATCCATCACCCTCCGCCAGGGGGGAAATTGTCCCCTTCCCGGGCCGATTGAGCACGAAGGAACGTCGCTTCTGCTGACCACAGCTGAGCAGCCAGGAGGAGGAGGGGGAAGCGTTCAACTCCCCTCTGTCAAGGCCTGTAATTACAGGAGCCTCTGACTTCCTGCGCTTCTTGCCGGGCGAACACAAAGGCCATTGAGGAGACAAGTGGCTGAGCGAGGAAGCAGCTGGTTGACTCGCGCTGCCAGCACCAGCATCAGCCGCGGCGCTCGAGTTAGCGTGCCGGGGCGTAATCAGGCGCTATTGAGCGGAGGGTGAATCGCAGATTGGCTGACTGCTGGCTGCGGTCGTTCCCATTCTTTTGGCAGCACCATCTGGAGAAACCCTCCTGGCCTAGAAATGAGGAGGAGAAGCTGC